CCAAGAGTCGGGGGCTTCACCGACTGAGCCACCCAGGTGCCCAAGGCTTCTTGGAAGTTCTTAATAATTTTTAAAGAAGCGTTCCACGTTTTCAGATTGCACCAGGCCCTGAGAATTATGCAGTTACAGAATGAAATAGGGCAGGTAAGGACAGGAAGTGGGAGGAGGTAGCGATTTTGGATCAGGGGGTCAGCATCAAGCGTCACTGTTAGGCTACTCGGGCGAGGAGACAAAGGACGTCCCGATTATAAAAAGTGGCAATGTCATGGAAAAATGCGTATTGCGTATTGGTTGACAACTGAGACATGAAAACGGTGGTTTTTGGACTCAGGACCAAAGCCTGGGACGCATCCTCAGGAACGGCCTCAATCCCTCCCTCCGCACATCAGCAGGGCCGCCAGCCTTGTGTTCACGCACAGAATCGGGGCCGTCCCAGGGACTCCGGGCGCCTTCTTCTACTTGGTTAACCAGAGCCACACACCCCGGTTCCTCGTTTCTAAACTTGCCCTCTGACCTCTTCTTGGCACAGCAGCTATGGTGAGTCCCTTGAAACCCAAAGCAGATCCTGCACTTCTCTGTTCAAAACCCTTCAATAGGGTATCCCTGGGTGGCTCAGCGGTTTAGCGCCTGCCTTCCACCCACAGCATAATCCTGAAGTCCAGGGACGGAGTCTCACATCAGGCTCCCTGCATGGAGTCTGCTTCTCTCTCTCTGTATCTGTCATGAGTAAATAAATAAAATCATATTAAAAAAAACCTTTAATAGCTTCTCATTTCATTCTAACTAAAAACCAAGAATCGCTAACATGGCGTGCAAGACCCTACATGATCATCTCTACTCTGACACCTTCAGTGGCCTCATCGCCTGTCCCCTCGCCTACCTCACTCGGCTCCTGCCGTGGGCTGCTGTTCCTGGAACACATCAGGTAAGCTCTCACCTCAGGACCTCTGAACGTGCTCTTCGCTTTGCCTGGGCGCTCTTGGAGTACCACATGGTTCTGTCCCTCACTTTCTTAATGTCTTTGCTCAAACATCACTTAATTAGATGGGACTTCCTGCCCTCTTTATTTAAAATAGCAGTCCACCCCCCCTTGACACCTGATGTATTTTATTCCATAGTCGTTTCCACTTCCTATCATGTTACCTATCAATTTATTTGTTGACTGTGTCTCTCCACCAGACACGTACACACAAGAATATAAGCTTCATGAGGGCAAGCATTTTGTCTGTTTCGTTCACTGTGTGATTTACCTTGTCAACCTGAAAAACACAATCTGGTACAAGGGAGACACCATAGTCGTTTGAATGAATAAATCAAATAGGTGTAAGGCAAAACATGGATATTACTATCACAAGTATGTAAAACATAAACCTAAGTGAATAAACTCAGTGATGGTAATAGCTATGCTGAAGTACTGGGTTCTAGGTGATTTTAGAACTCTCTTCTAAAAGAGCCGGCACCTGGCTGGCTCCATTGGTGGAGCGTGGGACTCCGATTTTGGGGTTGTAGGTTCAAACCCTACATTGGGTGTAGAGATTATTTTAAAATAAGCAAACACAGATATTTGAAAAAAATAATAAAATTCTCTTTCCTGAATTTTCTTCCAAGTAGTTGAACCATTTCTATACATTTTTAAAAATTACAATTATCTGCACATTGTAAAAAGTATTAAGATACTCTAATGTGGTAAATACTAAACCAAATGCTTCCTTGGAAGATTTTGCACACCTGGCTTACTAGATTTTACCTGAGGTGATACAAATGCACAGTGAGCAGAGATGTCTCAATCCCAAGAACTGTCAGTGGCCTTGGGATCAACTTGACTTAATCACTATTGATGTTAACTTTGCACGACTGAAGAGTTTTTATTCTGAATTGTTTTTTATTTACCAAAAAAGAAATGACAATTTCCCTAAAAAGAGAATCCTTCAAGTTTAAAAAAATCTTTTCCTTTAAGTTTTTAAGATTTTTTTTATTTATTTGCTTATTTTCTTTAAATATTTTATTTATTCATAAGAGAGAGAGAGGGACGCAGGGGGAGAGGCAGAAGCAGGCTCCTCTGGGAGCCTGACTGTTGTCTTCAGTCCTTTTTAAACTTGAGCAAAAGTCCAGCAGCTGTCCAGCCGCATTCCAAGGACTACTAGCCATGAGACTTGGAAAATGACTTTAATTCTTTGAGTCTCAGTTAAGTCATCAGTGAGGTGCCAGTGATAGACTCTGTGACACTCAAGAACCCAACCAGCTATAGGGTGCCTGGTAGCTCAGTCAGTTGAGTATCATGATCTTGGGGTTGTGGGATCGAGCCCTGCACTGGGCTCCATGCTCAGTGGGGAGCCTGCTTGAATTCTCTCTCCCTCTCCTTCTGCCCCTCCCCCTTCATGTAGGCACTAGCTCTCTCTCTTTCTCCCTAAAATAAATAAATATATTTTTTAAAAGAACTCATCCAACTATATGCATCTCTGCTTGTGGGAATTATAAATGGTTCAGGAAAGGTTGAATGCAGAAGGCAGCAGACCCTCTAGGCCTATGAAGGTCAAGAAAGGCCTAGGTGGTTGACTTGGGGAGAAGGGAGCAGAAACAGGGAAATGCAATGAAAGGTCACAGCCATCACTAAAACCAGCTCTGCTTTTTGGAGGTTTTATGCCAACAGTCTAGCATAAGCAATCTGGATTTTCTCAACTTTTTTTAAATTGAAGTTTTCTTCTTTTTTTTTTTTTTTTTTAAGATTTTATCTGTCCATTCATGAGAGACCCAGAGAGAGGCAAGGACACAGGCAGATTCCAGACGCTCAACCGCTAAGCCCCCCAGGCACCCCTTATTCATATATTTTAGAGAGAGGGCACGTATAACACCCCTGTGCCCAGGAGCGAGCGGGGGAGGGCAAGAGGGGGAGGGAGAGGCATAAGCATACTCTGCACCAAGTTTAGAGTCTGAGGAGGGGCTGAAGTCCAATGCTAAATCCACCGAGCTGCCCAGGCACCCCAGAAAAAGCATCTTTTGAGTCGAGGCAATTTGGGCCTGTTTAGGTGGCTTCTTTCTGTAACACGTTTGTGGCACTTGCCATGCACTAGGCAATATTTGTTGTGAAGCTCAACAAATATTAACTCATCGTGACCCTGCAACAACCCTACGAAGTAGATACTACTCTCCCATTTCCCAGGACAGAAAACAGAGGAACAGAATCTGGTTAAGTAACTTCTCCGGGACTACACAGCTAGCAAGCATACAGTAGGTTAGACCATACTGCCTCTACACAGCAGAAGACTTATCACCGTAAATGGAACACGTTAGTTCTTGTAGAAGTCGTGTCTCTACAGTACAGAGCAACGAGATCTAGCTCCTAAAGCAACCTCTTAATTGACAGGGGTCCCTCTTGAGAGTTCCAGTTCCAGCCCAGCCACCGCTCCCAGGCTCAAACTCCCACAGGCACTCCTGCCGTGTGCTGACGGTCGACCAGCCCGCTGTCTACAGAATTAAGCCCAGCCCTGCTAGTACAGCATCCCCGGCTCCCTGGACAGGGTCTACACTGCACGCTCTCTCTGAAGTAGGCCACCTGCCCTCAGCACGTCTGCTTTCCCTGCTGCCTTGAATATCTTTCTCTCTGCAGCTTCTAAACCATCTACAATTCACGGACCATGAGTCTGTGGAACCTTTGTATTTCCCTAGAGGCAGAAATAACATCTCTCCTTTTTATTCCCACCAGACCTTGTCCCTGGACCACAACTTGCCTCATTCTGCCTCTGAGTTCTGCACGCATGTTTAACATCCTCTGTTAAAGTCTTGGTTTCTGGAGGCCAGGTACCTCGTCACATGGCATCGATGCCTGCCAGAACAGGACCGCAGTAAACGTCCAACCGAATCAAACCCGTTTCTATTTTAAAATGTCAACTTTAAAAAATATATATTTTATTTACTTATTCATGAGACAGACAGAGAGAGAGAGAGAGAAAGAGAGAAAGAAAGGCACAGACACAGGCAGAGGGAGAAGCAGGCTCCATGCAAGGAGCCCGACGTGGGGCTCTATCCCGGGGCCTCCAGGATCACGCCCTGGGCTGAAGGCGGCACCAAACCACTGAGCCACCCGGGCTGCCCCAAAATGTCAACTTTTTGATTGACTCATGTACTACTTGCTTCTGAGTGGCATTATCTGCCTATACATCTAGCCTTCCAATATTACCAATGAGATTTCACTTTGTCCTCATATTTTATACAGGACTTTATTTATTATGATTAACAGATCAATAATATGTGGTGAGATTCCTAGGTCAGGGCTCTTCCCCCTTGTCTTTCTGACTGAGATGCTAACTGGATCTCTGTCTCTGAATAATGGAAGACGTGGGTTAGAACCACTTTGTCGCTATTGGCTCGTCACTGTAGGCTGCTTACACATACCTTCTAGGCCTCTCTCATGGGGACATTTGTGAGGACTGCTGAGATCCAAAATAGAAACCTCTGAGAGAACAATAACGAGTGTTAACAGGGGCTGGGAACTCGGTGTGTTATGTGTAGAACACACTCAAGCTTCACAGCAGACTTATGGAACTACTCATCCCTAGTCTAAAGTTTGGGAAACCGAGGCACAGAGAGGTTAACTAGCAAATCTAATGCTACACGGGGGGAGGGAGGAGGACACCTAGCATTTGGACCCAGGATGGTTAATCCTAAAGCTAAAACATTCTCTCTTTAGACCGTTGACGCAGAAAATACATATAAGTTACCATCGGTATCTTTCATTTATTCAGGTCTTCAAAAAGAGTCATGCAGCCAATAATGAGTGTCTAACATAATCAAGGCTGGAGCAGAGCTCATGAGCAAAGCCAGTTCAAACTCTGATGTGAATATTGAGTCCCTTGTTCCTGACCTAAGATCCCTTTTGACACAGTTTTTTTTTACCACAGGGAAAGCCTAATTCCTACACGAATGACCGAGCTTCACTACTCACGGCTGCAGGCGACACTGTGAGCAGTGGGCCTTACAGCTCATTAGGGCAGAAGCCCATGGCCTGCGGCACACAAACTTACACCCTTCAAGCATGTCGTGGCTCCTCGTTGCACTGATAGAAGCCCCGCTGTGATGCCTTTATGAGTCCTAAAAAACGGGTGATTGGCCCCAGGATATAAATGATTGGAGATGCTGGGTCCCTTTAAAAAGCCATCCAAACGCAGAGTAAATTCCAGCATTGCTAACTAAATCCTGGTACTTATTTATGATCCCATCAATAGAATGTATTGTGGACAAGAGCTGTACCTGGACCTCTCAAAGAGGGTGCTAGGGGAACTCAGGGACCATAAGCCATAGGAGAAATGCTGGTAGCTTCTAAATAATTCCTTTCGGCTCTCAAGGCAATGTTTGCTTGCGCTAGTTGAAAGCTGGAAAATGTTTTTGCTTTTGGTTTCCCCATAACCAAATCTGTGACTTTGGTAGAGACCTGTGATCCTCAAACTACTCCCAGGGGTCAGCTTACCCCCGTGTCACCACTGGGAAAGAGTGGCTACTGACACTAAACGTCTGACAACGCACAGATCTGCACCACGACAGAGAATTATCCAGCTCAAAATGTCAATAGTGCTGAGGCTAAGAAACTCTCCCATTGCCCCATGCTCCATTTCTCCATCCTGCCATCTGATGCTGAGAATGCATAACAGAGTGAAAATTCAAAATCTTCCTTTGTTTTGCCCAAATGCATACATGTGGACTTGCAGAACTCTTTTTCCATCCCCTCTTTGGTATGTCCTAGGAACCTGGTGGGTGGGAAGGACAAGACATAAACACACACTAGCTCTCCTAGTTCTGTGCTTCTTTTTTCCTCATGCCCTGTTTTTAAATGTTTTCTACATCAGCATTATGCCTCTTGTCAGTAAGGGATGATCAAGGTTTAAGTAGATAGAAGAGGGGCACCTTGGTGGCTCAGGTCATGATCCCATAGTCCAGGGATTGAGCCCAGAGTCCAGGCTAGGACATGATCCCAGGGTCCAGGGATTGAGTCCCGGTCCAACTCCCCACTCAGCGGGGTGTCTGCTTCTTCCTCTGCCTCTCCCCCATGCCCCCCACTTGTGCTCGCTCTCTTTCTCTCTCCCAAATACACAAGTAAAATCTTTCATTACTTTTAAAGATTTTATTTATTTGAGGGACAGCGAGAAAGGGAGAGAGAGCAGAGAGAGAGAGAGAGGAAGAGGGAGAAGCAGACTCTCCACTGTGCAGAGAGCCTGACATGGGGCTCGCTCCCAGGACCATGAGATCATGACCTGAGCCAAAGGCAGATGTTTAACCAACTGAACCACCCAGGCGCTCCACGGTAAAATCTTTTTAAAAAATTAAATATTTTTAAAAAGGCTTAAGTAGAAGAACGCAGTTTAAAACTGCACATAAAACAATAAATAAAAAAAATAATAAAACTGCACATAAAATGCAGGATCCTGGGCTCTTCACAACCATACAGCTCAAGGAGGGAAAGAGGACAGGCAGCCAGTTCCTTCACTGAGAGTTGGCTTGGATAATTTTGTAATATTCCAAGGCCAGGCGAGGGCCTTGTCCTGATGGCCCATCACCCTGCCCTCTACTCATCACAGCTCTCATCACAAAATGACATGCTTTAAGAAGCAAATCATATTTATCAAATTCGAAGCTAGGAAATGGAAAGGTAAAGGAGTCTCTAATGAGTTTTCCTAAGATGCCTCACACTTAAAGACATGTATCGCACTCGCTCTTCACCAACAGTAAAAAGTAAATGTACTTTCAAATGTCATAGAAACTTACAAGTTGTTTACGACAATTCCTGCTCTGGTGGCTTTTTGGTTTCCCTCTGTCCTCTCGCTCCCACTGCTTCCGTGTTCATTCGTCCGTCCTTTCCACAAACATTCTCTGGAGTGTCTCACTGCCTTCTGCAGAGAACCTGGAGAAAAAGTGGAAATGCTCCTACTTCATGGGAACCCAGAGAACCATCCTCTTCCTCTCCCTTGCTGCAGTTCTCTCTTCATGGGGAGGATGTCCAACCTGGAGAAACGGGGAAACAGAACTTTCTGGTGAAGAGTATCTGAACAGGGATCCCTGGGTGGCGCACGGTTTGGCGCCTGCCTTTGGCCCAGGGCGCGATTCTGGAGACCCCGGATTGAATCCCACGTCGGGCTCCCGGTGCATGGAGCCTGGTTCTCCCTCTGCCTATGTCTCTGCCTTCTCTCTCTCTCTCTATCATAAAATAAATAAAAATAAAAAAAATTAAAAAAAGAGTATCTGAACAGCCCCTTTCGGATGGTCCCCCCCACATCCTACTAGGTGCTCCTTTGAGAAGTGCTGCCTCTTGGTAACCTGCCCAGTGGGGGGGGGGGTTCCATCAGTTTTCATAAATCAGGAAGACCTGTGCCCTGTCACTCACCGAATTTTGGGCTCTCCACATTTGCATATTAAACGTTTAAGTGGAAGTAGCTGGATGGTGCCAGGGGTTAGTTGAGCCGGACTTTGAAATTCCCGGAACCTGTTTGACAACAACGCTTCCCCCCTGCTGCCTCTGGAAACGCCTGCGCACCAGAGAGAGCGACCTCCTCCCCTGTGGTCAGCGCCAGAGGATCAGCAGGACCTGGCCGCGAGCATAAATCTCAGCCAGCGGGATCTCAAGGGGCAAAGACGCATTCTGATTAGCTCCAAAATTTCCTCCAATGGGTGGAATGAGGATGCCCGCCCTCGGCTCCCAGCCTGCCAGGGCTGCAGGGCCGCCTGGGCTTTGCGAGCGCGAGTGGAACGTGTAACCGGCTGGGCCACGGCCGGCGCTCGCCCTCGGACGGAGCGATGCGATCACCGAGGACCGGACCCCGCGCTGCCGCCGCCCCTCCCCGCGCGGGTCCCGCAGTGCATCGCCGGTGAGCTCGGGGGCGGGGGAGGGGGACCCGGCCGGGCTCGGCCCCAGGCCCAGGGGAGCCAGCACCCGGCGACGCGGACCCCGGGAGCACCGCGGGGCGCAGGGGCAGGGGCGCGCAGGGCCAGGCTGCCCCGCCCCCGTTCGCCGGGAGGGGAGGGGCGGGGCGGGGGAGGGGTGCACGGCGCCGCATCCCTAAGCGGCCGCAACCCAAATTTCGTCCCCGCATCCCCCCCCCCCGCCCAGCCTCCCTCCACTTCCGATTCCAAGCGCAACGGAAGGCGACATCCAGCGGGGCCAGGACAGCGGCTCCGCGCGGCTCGAGAGGCGCGGCGGGGCGGCGCCGGGGGGCGGGGGGAGGCGGTCGCCGCTGCGCCCCCGCCCGGCCCCGCCGGCGCCGCCTCCCCCGCCAGGCGACAGCAGCCCGAGGGGGACGCGGAGGCGCCTCCTGCCGCCCGCAGCCCAGGCGGCCGCCGCGGGGCACGAAGGCGCCTCCCCCCGCCCCCGATGAGGGGCGCGCCCCGCCATGGCCGCGCCGGCGAGCGACAGCGGCGGCCACGGGAGCCCGACCGGCAGGCGCGGGGGCGCGGCAGGCGCCGGGGAGGCCGCGGCCGCGGGGGTCCTCCCGCCGCTCGAGGACTACGAGTGCAAGATCTGCTACAACTACTTCGACGCGGACCGGCGCGCGCCCAAGCTGCTGGCCTGCCTGCACACCTTCTGCCAGGAGTGCCTGCGCCAGCTGCAGCTCCGCGCCGCCCCCGCGCCCCCCGCGCCCCCCGCCGCCGCCGCCGCCGCCGCGCCTGAGCGCCCCCCGCGCCCGCCGCCCCGGCTCGGCCCGCCCGGCGCCATCGCCTGCCCCGTGTGCCGCCACCGCACCCCGCTGCCCGACAGCCGCGTGCACGGCCTGCCCGTCAACACCAAGCTCGCCGACGCCCTCCCGCTGGCCCTGCGCGCCGCGCACGACCCGCTGCCCCAGGACCGCCTCCCGCCCGCCGCCCCGGCCCCCACCCCGGCCCCCGCCCCCGCCCCGCCCGCGGAGGACGCCGCCCGCCGGCCCCGCGCCCGCCTGCGCGCCCCGGGCGCCTACGACAGCTGCCGGGACTGCAAGCGCGCGGCGCTCACCGCCGGCTGCGTGTGCGTCGTCTTCTCCTTCCTCTCCATGGTGGTGCTGCTCTTCACCGGCCTCATCTTCGTCAACCACTACGGCGGCGGCGGCGGCGGGGCGGCGGGGGCGGGGGCGGCCCTCTCGGAGGCGCGGCGCCCCCTGGAGCTGCCCCGGGGGCCGGGTCGCCGTCGCCCTCGCCCGTGGGGCCCATCTGCCTGTCGGTGGCCAGCATCCTGGCGCTCTTCTCGGTCGTCGTCACCTGGGTCATCTGCTGGCTCAAGTACCGGCCCGAGGGCTCGGCGGGGGGCGGCGGGGGCGGCCCGAGGGCGCGGGCGGCGGCGGGCGGCGCGCGGAGGAGCGACACGTAGCGGGGCCGCCGGAGGGGAGGGGAGGGGCGGGGAGGGCGCCCCTCCCGCCGCCGCCGCCTGGTCCCCCGCCGCGCCCTCCCCGTGCGCCCCGTGCGCCCCTCCGCCGCCGCTGCCTCGCGGGCCCGGGTAGGGGCGGGGAGCGGGGAGCGGGCACGCGCCTTGCCCCGGACCGTGCAGCCTCCGCCGCCGTCCCCGCCAGAGCGCGCGAGCGGCCCCCCGGACTCCGAGGATTCGCGGAGAGAAGCGGCAGGAGCGGGACCCCGGCGGCCGCCCCGGCGAGTGGAGGGGAGCGGAGCGCGCGTGGGCGGCCGCGAAGGGCCGGAGCTGGCGGACACGTAGCCGGGAGCCGGGGCCGTCCCGGGGGCCAGCGGGCCGCGCCGGTGCCGACCGCAGCCCCCGCCCGGCAGGTGCGCTGCGCACGTGCGCGCCCCCGCCCCCACCCTGCGGACGGGCCGCCCAGCCCCTGCGCTCCGCGGGGGGACTCGGGGAGCTCCTGCCGGGAACTCATTTCATCTGCAACTGGACTCGGGGAGCCTCCGGAGCCGGCTCTCGTCTCTCAAAACTGACTTACTGTTGCCCCCACCTGGAAGATATCGAAAGCTATCCACGCAGGATCTGAGCTGTAGGCTCCTCCGCCTTTTTCCTTTTTTTAGTTCCTTTTTTTTTTTTGAATAATTTATGTTAGGACATATAAATCTGGAAGTTTAGGGCATTGAAATTTCCGGGAGACTCTGATAAACATATTTCCCCCATCCCTCCCGTCCGAGTCCATTTCAAAATTAGGAGCAGGAAATAGAGGAGTGTTGGTGATTGATTCAAGATCTTATACTGTGAAACAACTACTGGCTTTCAATTGACTGATAAAATAGAAAATAGCTCCCAAAGGCGAAAGTGAGGTCTTAACTGACAAGTCTTTCTTCCTTTGATTACAAATGTACATCACACTTATCAGGAAAATATCACTTTGAATTTAACCGTTTGATATTGTGGGAAATCACTGAGATGTTCGCGTCCGTCACATCAGAGGAAAAAGGATACATATCTACTGATTTTGTAACTAAAAAGATGAAAGGGTGGACTATTAGATGCCTTTTTAAGGAAAAAAAAACCACTGTTCCCAATGTATTTTATATGAAAACATTCTTTATTCCATCTTTTGACATTTGGAATAAGAGTTTTCATGTCTAAAAATCCCTAAGCTATTGAGGGTATGCTGTTGTTCCTCATGCATTTATGCAAGCTGTCTGCATGGTATCCTCACACTATTCTATTAACTTGAATGGAGCATTTGTATCTATTATAGAGGGAAGTAATTTATTGGTCATTGATAAGTGGTATGGCTGCAATTTAGGAATTGCCATATGGTGTGTTTTATGTCTGCATTGTCTTAATAAAAAACAAGAAGCATTTATAGAAAAACCTACTTTTACAGTCCGAGTTATGTGTATGACACTTTTCTTGAAATACACATCCCCCAACCAAATCCCAATTTCACATTTTGAATGGGGCTGGGAGAAATTCCTCACACATGGGAGGAATGTCATTGCTAGGGTGGGTATTTTATGGAATGATTTCTTAGGGTTTAACAGGACCCGTAAAGACCAAGGGAAATCTGTTGTGTTTTGGTGGGAGGAGCAGTATACCCATCCACTAAAATAACTTCCACTATACTCTGTTGTCAGATTTTGTTCTCAGTTTCTGCTGAATGTTTCAGGTTCCTAAGGGTTTTATGTTCCTAATAGTTAAGAGTCCCATTTCAGAGACTAGCTTTGGTTTGTTTATACCTCCAACAAGTAACTTGTGTTACTTCTATATTCATTTTTATCTTTTACTTTGTATTTACTTCCAGTGCTGAGATTGTTTGTATTCACAACTCTTTAGTTGCACAAGTGTACCTACACGTATGTGTGTGCTAGTAACAGACCTTCGCTTTGTGTATGTAACAATGTGTACATGTGTGCACACACATGTTTGTTATTTTACTCCCTCAGATTGGCAACCTGGAAGTCTGTCTAAAGTTACTTGGGGGACCAGCTTGCTTCTTAGGGAGTTTATTTTTGTTCTACAGAGGAAGGAATACCAAGGGCCTAAACTGAATTATTCCTCATAAATGACAGAGATACCTGAATGGCCTCAGTCACAATACAAGCCACCTTTTGCTCCTCCCATAAGCTGCACATGGAAATTTCCTGTAATGAGAAATTTGAGTTAGAATACTTTAAGACATTAGTATTTTAGTACCTAAACATGGTGAGAGGGTTGTTTTTTGTTTTTATTTCTTGGCTGACTTTGCATTACTGCTAATTTCTGACTTCATTATCAGGAATTAAGTGACAGGATAGAGTAATGGAAAACATTTGTTCTATTTCCAGTGGTTTTCTGTTATTTGAGTATCTCCCATTTTGCAGATGTGCTTTAGTCATTCCTACCTCATGTGGGGAGTCCTGGTACACCAGCACCCTGGATGAAACAAGCGTTTACAAAGTGATGAAATGGCCCATGAGTTGTAGGGAGGCCTTGTGGTGACAGGAGAGTGCTTTTCTCCCTTCTCCTGGAAATTCTCATCTTCTTGCAAGAGCTTGACCCAATTCTGGACACATCTCCAGCTCATAAGTGCTAACTGCCGGTAAAGTCTCTGTAAAAAGCCAGTCCTAATTTGGTTTGCACACCTGCTCAAGAACTCATAGTTTCCATGGTCTAGGTTCTGCTTAGGTCCTGGAATTGCAGGCTGGAGTTATTATCATGATTCTATAGAGTCTAAATTTCAAGTGAAAGAAAGAAACTCATCTTGCAGGCGATAGATTAAATTGTTCAGCCTCTGAATGCAATACAATGTGGTGAACGGTGTCCATATCTAGAAAGGGCATTGATGTGGGGTCTACAGACTAGTAATGGCACCCAGGAGATGTGAGTCAATGCGGGCTCTCTTCTTTCTGGGAAGGACCTTGGCAATTCGTTTTATTACCTCTTTGAGCTTAGGCTCCTCTGCTAGGGGATGAGAACACCAAGTATCAGCTCTGCTTTACTTTATGGGGTTGGCTTAAGGACTTGTACACACAAGAGGGCATGTAAGTGAAAATGCTTTGGAAACTCAAGTCCCCTGTGGATCTGTGGCCTTGTTTTCATTCAGACTTCCAAGGGTCTAATATCACCTCCTTAGAGGGGTCTGCCCAGACCAATCCATCCCAAAGGACTATCTACCAAAGTTTTATTTTCTTCTTACTTTCTTCTGTCTGCAGTGGTCTTATTTCATTGCTACATGCTATATCTCAATCTCCAGCAACCAGAAGGCAAAAAATAAGAGCAGGAACCTAGTCTGGTCACACACTTTACCCACAAAACCTTAGTCAGCCCTTGGCATATGGTAAGTGGCAGATGACTAGTTTGTAGAGTTACTTGAATGGGAACCCCTGGACTGCAGGGTGAAGCAACTTGGTTCCCCTTACTCATACTACCAGTTAGTAACTCCCAAGGCCCTGGAGGACCTAGGTAAACAGTTGCTTTTCCTGACTTCAGAAGGATTTTCAGAAAAATACAAAAATATACTGGAAAATAAGTTTGATTTTTGAGAAAAATCAGGTCATCCCAGGAAAATCTTAAGTATATTATGTTCAGTGACAGAAGGCACTGGAGAGACTGAAGGACATTTGGCCACAATTTCCAATCCTTTTCTGCATTGTGAGATTTCGAGGTATGACTGCTTTTGGCTTTCTTTAAAAATTTTTTTCATTCATTCATGAGAGAGAGAGAGAGAGAGAGAGACTGCGTGTACAAGAAAGCACAAGCAGGGGGAGCAGCCAGAGGGAGAGGGGGGAGCAGGCTCCCTGCTGAGCAGGGAGCCCAACAGTGGGCTGGATCCTGGACCCTGGGACCATGAGCAGAGCTGAAGGCAGACACTTAACCGACTGAGTCACCCAGGCGCCCCGGCTTCCTTTTTTTGTGAGCATGACTGCACCACCCCCTCCAAAGCTAGTAGCACTTGCATTGGTGGGATAAGTTTACATTTCAGTGGGATTTCCCACATTTGTTCCTTTTCCATTTTAATTCTTCAATCTTTGCCATTTTAAATAACTTATCCTTCATCGACTTGCTAAATTTATAATCTTAGTAACTGAGTAAACCGGTCCTTCTGTGATCCAGCTCATCCTCCTTAATCACTTATTTCCCATTAGCTAACATTTGTGTTTTAAATTTCTGCTATGATCCAAAATTGATTAAATTCATGTCTTAGGAAATGAACTGAATACCTGTCAAGCATGCATTTACGTATTTCCCTTTGAAACACTGTGTTTTTATTGTATACCTTACAGTGTAATTTGGGGAATATCTAATATTTACTACAGTAACTTTTCTGAAATAAATGTTACAAATGAGTGCAACCAAATCTTAATTTGAAGTCTTATGAGTGAACAATGTATGAGAGAGATTTTATCCATCTTTTGGTTGATACCTTTTGACTGTCCATTTAAGAAAAGCTTGGTGTGTATACCATAAGCATGTGTCTCTCCATCAAACAAACTTGGAGCATCTGTTTTTTTTTTTTGAGCATCTGTTTTTTTATGCAAAACTAGAATGTGCAAGTTTGTTTCTATAATGAATTTACCACCATTCTTGATTACAAAACACATTCAGGAAAGTAAAAGTGTTCAATATCCAATTTCCAAGAATATTCCTAGGAGCTCAAGAAGAATGTGCACACTTCCTTTAGAAAAAAAAATGTCTTTGCATGTAAAATTGGATTATCTTTGGTTTAGAAATAACTCATCTCCATGGGGTGGAGTGGGGCAATGTTGAAGTGAGAAGAAAGAGGATAGGAAAGATATGCAAAAGATTCACCAAGGTCCTAATATATATACAAAACACGTTTCAAAACAAAGAACAGAGAAAATGTTTAATCATTGCAAGAACAGAACACTATCATCTTCACAGTTACCATTTTAAAAAACCATGGCAATATCTGGGCCGCTTGGCTATCTCTTACCGTGATGACAGTCATCTGC